TAACGCGGAGAAAATGTAACTTCTAAACACCTAGCGACTTCTTGGACATAGAAATTAAATGCACATCTCAACGTCAACCAATGTCTTTTTTACCTGTCGCGTTTTCATTTGAATATTTCAACTCATCTTCCCTGTCACATCATGTGCATTATTAATCCGAAAGGCGATGTTCGAACTCATGAGCAATAATGAACATGATTTATGACCAGGGTCTGTTGTCCGACGGGGGACATGCTGTTGCAATTGTTCATGGTGCTTCTAAGAGAATGAAACATGTCTAAACCTGTTACATATGCTGAGGCTTTTAGGTAAATGGTAAAGCAAAAAATGGTAGAGCGGGTTTTCAGGGTAAGGGAGCAGTATGCTGCTGTAGTTGTTTCGATTACACTAACAAAAGATCTATCAGAGGGTACTATACCCGAATTTACAGGCTACCAACATAACTATACAATTCGTGCAATCAATAAAGACCAAAAGAAACAAACCCAAAAGAAACACGCAAAAAGTAGCATAAAGATGTAGCTCTCGCTACCCAAAGAAGCTGGTTTGCAGTTTTTGACATGTTTTGTTTTGTTATTAGCTGTTTTCCTGATAGGTTATCAGACTACAAGAGTTGCTGCTTCTGCTAGCTAGTTCTGCTAGCTGCCTGGGAGCTCTGGCAGAGATGAACTCGTTTGACACCTTCTCTTTTTGGCAGAGGAAGTCTCCGTCAGACAGCAGACCCTATGACCGTCGTCACCGGTATAAAGTTGCAATCTATTGCATTGGAAGTCTTGACGCGTATATCTATGTGTCTATTCAGGAGGTAACTCGCTCGACAGATCATAGTGTCCCGCTGTCTCCGGGCTTCGCAACCGGAGATATTTGACTCAAAGTAAAGCACTGCTCTAGTCGGCTGTAGGTGATTAATGGTCAGCGTTTACTCAACTTCCCAGAGGCACAGCTGATTGCTACCAGTCGTGAGTTAGCAACAACGCTGAGGTGCACTCATTGACAGATATCAAGGATCCCCACGATCTTGGTGACAGGGCAGCATGTTCGCATATGGGCTGCGCCAGTCTGGGGAGGGGAAGTGTGTGACCATGGTGGCCATTTCACTTCTTTCTCTCCTCATCAGAGAAATCTCTTGACAAAATTGATGAATAATGAAGATAGCACAAGCTTCAAGGACGCTGCACACATAAGCTCTATTGGATTCGACGAAGAGGGAAGCTGCCTGCAAGAACCTTCGTGAAGAAGGGTTTTCAGTGTTTCTGATGAGGTTGTAAACTGATTCTTCACAGAAGGCTACTGGATACCTGCACCGCGGTAATGACCATTGTCGGCTCTGACCACCTCTGAAATTCGACCGAAGCCATGCGTAAAGTTCACCGAGAAATGCTCATATTGTGTCACCACAACCCCACGCATATCTATGTACGTGTGACGAAGGATACCATTTTAAAAGGTCACTAACCCGCCTGGCTTAGCCGCTTCTAATCATTGGGTAATCAGTGCACTAAAGCGTCATCTAGAAGATAAAAATTCGATGACTGAGGTCAACATGAAAATGGGTTCGATCGCTTCTTTTTGAAGCAAACGCCGGAATCCTAAAGTGAGAGACTTGAGAAGCTGCCCGGAAAAGTGTACGCCTCCTATATGGTGATGGTGGTAACCTTGCTGATTGAATATCTCATTCAACAAAAAAGATGCAATCAAAAATTTTGGACAAAGTGTTGCAGGATTTTCTAGGACAGCCCAGTAGAATAGTAGCAGAGTAGGAGATAAGGATAGTAGTAGATTAGGATAGTGCGCTGACAAGATTAGATATGTATTGATCGATTCGCCCAATCTACTACTCTCCAGCGATTTCAATCGATACGTATCCAATCTTGTCAGCGCAATCTCCTACTCTACTACTATCCTAATATCCTATCGCCTACTATCCTAATCTCCCAACCATGGACGCGGCATGAACTGGTAACCATGCTGCTAATCAAAGTAGTGGTGAGAAAACAGAAAAAACGTGTCGATAACAGACCGTGTTTTAGGTTGATGCAGAATAAAGCATGTGGAATTCCGGAAACATTTCAAAATCTTTGCAAGTAGGAGAGGAGTCTCGCCCTTGCCACTATCTGCATCAAAAAGGTCCTGTTCAGAGTAGTCTAGGACAGCATCAGATAGGGTCTCAATGCTGACGGTCATGGAACAGCTCCTCATTGAGGTTCATCCAGTGAGAGAGCGCAACAACGAGTAGAATAAACTAGCGGTGCACTTAGGGTTTTGAAACCAGAGTACTGACTCGTCTTGTGGCCAAACCTTAACCAAATTCGAACAATGGAGGGCCTGGTGCTCACAAAAGGTAAGCACTTTAAAGGCAAACTCCGGGATTAAACAGGTGCTATCAGTGCTTTGTAGTGATAGCTTAGCTGCGGAAAGACCTGAAAGTGGAAAGGAAAGCAAGAGAAATCATTGGGAACGCTGCAGTTAGGGTCCTAACCTTCAATAGAGTCGGATATAATACGATGGCGAGAAAGGGCGTTCAAGGAAGACAAAATACGCGAGAGAGCACGCCGTTGGAGAGAGTGCGCTGATCTCTCATCAATGCACGCTGATCTCACCACCTCTCGCGTCGGGTTGAATGCGTTGGTAGGGAGTCCATGGTTGTGTGCCCGTAAGGATTAGCGCCCTAACTGTGCACTTTTTGCGACGAAGCTGAAGAGATCCTATTACGTAAGGACCTTAAAAAGTAAAAGGGATGGTT